AGTCCCAAGAAGTTACCTGGACCACATGGTATACCACCAGAGTGTTGAAGATGTGTTCCGGACAGATAATTTTATCGAATAAATCAAATCCAGCGAATTACCGTCCTATATTATAAATAATAGACAAAATTTTGTGCAACAATTATTGAACATTATGATCAAAATAATATCTTAACGGATCAGCAGCACGGTTTCAGAAGACGCCTGTCCTGTGAACTCGATTATTAGGTACGTTCTATGAATGGTATGCGGAGTTCGACAGTGATTGTAAATGTAATTTTATTGGATTTTACAAAGGCTTTCAAAAATGTGCCTCATTAACGCCCGACCAATAAATTACTAGGATATTTATCCATGGAAACACTCCATCATTCACTGGATAATAACAGTGTTTTTAAAGAAGCAACTATTCTACTTTGAGAAATGTTATATCAAGAATATCCTTGGTTTTATCTTATTTCTTGCATTTATATCGCCATCAGATTACAATGCATGTCAACTTTATGCTGATGAACTCTTTATCCTCTTACCGCAAATGACGAGTACGAATCTATGAAATCTGACCCAGTTACCCCCCCCCCCTCCGAGAATTGGTGTAGCGATTTGATTTATTGGATTTCAATATTAGCAAATACAAAATGGTCCATTTGTCACATAGTACAACACTTTGACGGGCAATAGTTTCTTAATGACATACAATTTTCAATAACCAAACTGAGAAACGTATGATAGGTGTAGAGTTGTGGCCTGAAATGAAACGATCATTGAAACAAGCGAGCAACTAACTGTAATAAGTTGCCATGCCGAACGGATACTATGACGACAGTGTATACGGTTTAATTCGCTCAATACTGGATTTCGTCAGTACAATATGGGGCCCCTATAGAATGGGCGACATTAAGAAATTTGAAAAAGTACTAGTACTGTTCTGCTCATTACAATGGAATTTACCGTATTTACATTTACTTAGTAATTTAAATTTGTTAAGAAGTTTACACGATCGTAGGAAAGTAAACCTACCAACCACGAGTTATAAACTATTTGACAGAAATATAGTACATGTACTCACAAGTGAACATTGTCCTTAAATTTATGTAATGAAACTAAATCAAGTCACTCTTCCAAACTGTACTTATTTTCATGTAAGACAGTTGTATTAAAATATGCACGAGAGTGGAATGACCTCGGTGTCGCCAATGGCGCCTTGTAGTAATTGCCAATCAGTTGTACATTATTTAAATTTACGTTTTATTTACATAATGCGCGTTGTTTGTCCTGTTTACGTTATGTTTGTTTTCAACTTATTTGTAGGGATTGGCCATTATATTGGCGTCAGCTCGTTTTATATCCCAGATCTTGGTCGGAATTTTAAATTTATAAAATCAAATAAAAAAAACATCGAAAAATGCAAAAGTGGATTAGAATTGTGTTGTAACTCCGGCTCAGGTAAACATGGGCCCCTCAGTTTGTGTCAAGATTTCAGTCATGTGCGGCCTTCGAGACTTTTGGCAACTTTTTTAACACAATTTTTCGATTGCGCAGACCAAAAATTAACAGCGATCACGAATATTTTGTCCATGCAATGTATACGGGCGAACACAGGCTAAAATGCCTGCAATAAGCATGATATAGAAGGTAACACTAAACATTATGTTATAAATATCAAATTCATCTTCGCACTATTTCACCTCCCATCCTACTAGTATTCGTAATCTACCTGTCGAATGAAAAAAACGATGCTGTCTGCGAGTGTAGTCCTGGGAATCCCACAGTAATTTCACCTATGCAAGGTAGAGTCGCAAAGAAATAGTTTACACCTGTTGATGCAGGTTATTGACACTGGTAGAATTCAGCCCACTCAGGTGGAAGATGTGTTATGGTCTACCGAGTTTGCGTTTGACCTAGCCAGACAGCGTTCTCGCTAGGACAGCAAATTCATTCGTCAATTCGTCGCGTTTTCCTGTCTAGCTTGGATATTATTCTACAGTAATTTCTTAATCTATGTTTGGATTAAAGTATTCAAAATGGACGCCCTCGATGTACTTATCGACTATGTTTCCAGGACAACTAACACTGGAGATAAGTATCTACACACAATCATTGCGCCGTTAACCTGGATTGTAAAGAAAATATTAGCATTAAAATTGGCAATGGTCCAGTTTGGAGTTCGAGGTCGAATTCAGATTATAAAAAAAAGTGAAAGGTCATATTCGGGAATCTGATAGGTGCACCAGTTATTTGAACAATTACATGGTTGGAATTTCTCCTCGACGAAAGCCTCAACTCAGCACCCTGGTAACGCCAAGCTGTCTCGTTATAGCGTCGCGTCGAGTGTCGACTCCAGCGCATCTGCGTTTGTGACGTCACATTATAAAAAGTAAATTTTGTTAATGTAGTAATTTGTAATTAACAGTGTACCTTCGAAGTGAAATGTTCGTTAAATACAGTCCATGGGTCAACTGCAATCGTGAGAGTTTTCTCATGACACCCCAGCCTAATTTAATGATAATATGCGCAAAATAAAAGTACACCATTGCTTTTTAGGGGAGGATTATCTGAAAGGACTTTTCAACGTACCCCGCCTCCAATCGTAACCCAATCCCTACCCCCAAATTAATAGTATTTGACTCTTGCGGGAACCTATAGTTATCTAGAGGGGCATATACAACTGAATTTGGGGGCTGGAGGGTATAGGGTTAGTATTTGAGTAAGATGGTACATAGGAAAGTATTTCCGATTATCTACTGAAACGTTTTATGCAAATTCCGTCTATATTTGAAAGTTTGCGCTCGCCACTGAAGATTAAAAGTCCAAATTGTGACTGAACTCAGTTCTCGCGACATTGGATTTTGAGATAGCGCGTGTCGAAAACACTGACCACTGAAATAAAATGGCGCAACATACGAGAATTCGGCGTTGAAATAAGCGTTTTCAGAAATTTGGTACTTCGATGAAGTTTCATACCACCATGACGGATACGCCCCCAAGTTAGTCGACAGACCCCGTAACTCATTTCAGAATCTGATTTTATAGATGCGAGTTTATTATAATACATGCATTAGGTGGCGTTGATTAATTACCTTCAAACTTCAGTGCCCATGTTCATTATTTTCTAGTAATAAAACCAGGCATGTAGAAATAAAATGTTCGACGAGAGGTAGGTATTTTTGTCAATCTGGTCACGTAATCCCTATTTGCTACACAGGAATCTCTGCATTGACGCGTTAACTCGTGTTACCCTCTATTCAAAGGGCCGTTAAGGGTATGTATTCACGAGTACATGAAACAAACTTAAAAGAGAGGAAAGTCGAGAACCATATACGGCAACGTGGAGCTCTCGGACCCTTATTCACTTGAATAAATACTGCAGTCATTAATCCAAATCAATTTTTTTTTAATCCCGTTATATTTTAATCTGTTAATGGGGATCACAGTGTAAACACCTCGGCATAACACACAAACAGTGACTTCAGTGCAATGTTGTACAAACACTGTGTCCGACTTCTGCTCCATCAATCATCTTTAGAAATGTATCGTAGCATACGAAGGGTCATAGCGAAGAGTCGAATATACGCTTTCATTTTAATCGACCATAGGTAGAATTGATGCATCTAAGTTGGTTGTTCGGTCTCACGCGGCTCTCATCACCAGTCAAGCGTTTTTTTTTTCTCTCTCTCTCTCTCCGAGTCGAGTGGGTCACGTGACTTGTCCAGTTCGCGGTGATGCAAGAGTTGTTGCTTGCATCTGACAAGATTTGACAAGTGGTGACCTTCGTGCGTTGTGTTGTGTTGTGTTGTGTTGTGTGGAGACGGTCTTGCCTACTGCGACGCGATGAATCATTTTTGGGTAGGGTATGGAGGAAAGGAAACTGACACGGCGTGAGCAAACAGCGTGGGTGGGCAAACCTAAAAAGCCATCTTGATGGCCACGTGAAGCCATACAAGTGCCGGTGGAAAGCAACATTTGTTGGGAAATTTTGGGATAAATTTGAGTTGCATTGAAGGGGAAATGTTTTATCAATGCAACCTTTGCCGACATGGACGATTTAAATTTATTTCTAATCGGTTTTTCGAAATGGCAACAGTTTTTGCGCACCCACAAGCTGTTAAAATTCGCGCCACTTCGAACGGACGAAGTGCATTCGTCAAAGGACCTGTTAACAACAACGTCGATGCCCTGCTAAATGAACCCACTAGTAAACGGGGACCTTTCCTTTGCTAGCGAGTATAACATAGTGTACATGTATTGTAATGAGAGGTTTCGTATTTGGGCGTATCTAAATACGAGACCTCCCAACACTTTACACTTTTATATAGAATAGAAGGAAATTCGGAATATGCGTATGTTAACAAGTCCATGCGTCCAATTTTGCCGATTTTTTTTAAAAATGCAAGTTAAAACCCAAACTTTCCATACCGCACACTCAAATGAGACATATTTGTAACATTAAAAAAAATCAAACCGATGTCCGCCATTACTTTGTACATGTTAAATTAAATGTAGGTCTTTGCGACCCCGAACACACCTTGAAATACCTGCCCCGGGGATGGCATCGGACAGGTTTCGTACCTCGTAAATGACCCCTCCCCCTTCCTGTGCAACTCATCTTTAATCGAACTGTCGCCGAGTTCATTCTTCGAAAATAATTTGTATGGAAGCAACTGGTTTGTTATTCGCACTCATTGCGAGATTGCAAAACATCAGAGATTTTGGCCACGTTCATTTGAAATTACCTGCACCTTTGGGACGAACCGTTTCGACCTGAACATTCGCAGTTGATAAGAGAGTGTCATTAGAAGTGCGCAGGTGTGTATAAAAAACAAAACAAGCATACAACTTTTAAATTATCGAGGAATATAATCAAAGAAAAATACAATATGGCGGAAAGTACACAATGCCATTTTACTAATACAAACACCGGGTGACAAGGCTTACCTCCGTTGGTTTCTTCGACGACGGTCCAGCCGTATAATGAAGAAACGCGTTCGGTTGAAAGACTGGTGACGGTGACAAACAAAGAAAGGGCAATATGAGGACACAGCTGACTGTTCAATCGAAACAGCTATGCCAACATCTTGCCTCCACTAAATTTGCGAATTTTCAAAAGTGAAAATCTAACTTGCTCTTTTTCAAGGAAGAAGTCACACACTAGCACCACTGGCTTCAGAGGTCGAGCCGAGCCATCCCTGCCATCACGAATCTGCCACGGTTCGCAGAGCGGTGAATCGTCCACCTGTATCGGGAAAGAAACACAACACTGATTACACGTCAGATTCAAGTCCACACCTTTTATTGTCCGCGTTAATTATTATTCATACTTGCCAATGTGGAATTTAAATAAATATACACGTTTGACTCACACGTATGGATAAAAGACTTGACAACCGCATCATAGAACTATGCCACTGGCAGCTTTCTTGTACTAGAGATTTAAAAATGTCTAGCTATTAATTGGTTTATTAAATTGATCCATACCGTTACGATTCCCAATTGCAGCTAATAATAACAATCGGACCAACATGGCATGTAAAATTAATGCTTCCATTGTATCTGCTGGCCTTCAAGTACAACATCGTTCCAGATTTTTATCCAAAAAAACACCCTCTAGTTGAGGGAGGTTACGTCTCTGACCCAATCATATTTTGTTTAAAATTGTGACAAGGCAAATTTTTCATCCTGTGTGCTTGTCATTTCTGGCGCAAAGTCCCTTCGTTCAATAAATTAAACTCGCATACTGATAGAATAAAAAATACTACAGGCAAGGTAACACGATACTGAACTTCACGGCCAACACCCCTTGTCAATAGTGTCAACTAAACAAGTTGAACAATACGGGACCGTCGTAACTATACTGACAGATCCTCTCCCTGAAGTTTCGCGGCCTTTCCAGTAAGATACATGATTTATTGTTTTGGGCTCTGAAACGACCAAGTAATTTGTCAACAAAATATTAGATTGATTATCCAGGTGAAAAATCAACCCGAAGTTCATGAATAATCGCAAGGTTCGTTACCATGGTGAGCCTGAGAAATCGGAAGATTCATCAAACATGGAAACCGTAACGCATTGGAAGTATGCCACACACGCGAATATATACTCGACAAAAATAACATTGGCCCCTACTCCCGAGGAACGTCACGAACCAATTACATATTTGCATATTCATGAATAGATGCAGTGATGAGCCAATTATTTAAAAAAAAAATACCTGAATATCGACCGAGGTCGGTGTTGGCCTTTTCTACCAAGAGCATACATCAGAGAACAGGTGTCATACATTGGGCCCCCTAAGCGATCCATAATTTTACATTTGTGTTTTCTGTTTTTGTGGTGAATAATAATTACCCCAAGATATGCCGCAGTAACCATTACGTTGAATTTCAATATTTGTAAGGCGCATGCTTTATTTGAATAAATAAAAAGAGTTATAATATAAAAAAAACTTGAAAGTTGCTGAAAAACTATATAGTAAGTGCTAGAGGGTCCGACCAGCACCGACAAGTTCTCTCATTCATGTTCCAATATGTATTTAAAGTCACGTGGTGGTATATGTACATTGCAATGCCAACAAACGTTGGCACATAACATAGTCCATGCATGCCCATGCTCTTTCTCAAATACTTATCACATATTCAGTCATTGTTTGTCATTTTTCCCCTCTAGAGAAAAACTCATGTCCTAACCTGCAACAGTACAAGTCGCAATTCTAGCTGTCACGCTTAAACATGGAACCAAGAATGTCTATAACTGGCAACCATTGACACAGTGGTGATTCATGCCACACATAATTTTTGCTAAATTACCCATAACACGTCATGATCACGTGAGACGGGTGAGTTCCGGTTCGTTAAATCATGCTTTCACAGAGTTGAAAGAAACCTGTTTGATGTATAATTATATTATTTAGAATAAAGTTTTGTTGGAAAAAATACAACGCATTGTATCAATTACTTCTACATGTCACGTGACAATACTTCTCGAGACGGACTTCGATGTTAAACTTGATTATAGTACATCTTACATTATTCCCACTGGGCATATGATATTTCAGATAACGCCACACTCTAAGTACACACCGTTGCATTCCAGTGTGTTTTCATATCCGGCCTAAAGCTGGAGCATTGCTGCAATAACTTCAACCATTGTAATTCACAATTGACAAACAGACGGTTGGAAAAACGAAGTTGCATAGCAACATTTTACAACAATTCGAGACGCATGTACAATCGCCGATGGTACGTTCAATTATTTTCTGACACTATCGGATAAAGTATATATAATTTCACATTTTATTTTGTTTATTATGTAACCTTCACTGTAATGTTAATCGTGTCAGAAAGGTGTCAGTCACGTGATACAACCAATTAATAGTAATTTAATATTTTAATTACACAATGCTTGTTGCTATGTTTGTAATGATTGTTTCTCGTCATTATTAGCAGGGTGTGGATTTGATACACCGCCCATTGTAAACACATCGTAATTCCCGCCGTTATCGGAAAATGTATTCCGAGATTAGTCACATGACATATACCATTTGAAAAAAAAAACTTCACAGATGAGTTTGCGTCCCAATAAACTGTCTGATCGCGGTAACGAAGTATGTATTAAGACTGCATCAATGTGGCAGCCTGGCATTTACTACCTTGTTGGCCAACCCTATCGATTATCCCATTTCAATGTCCTTTTGTCATGTCGCACATTCAACTCTATTTATACTTACAACACAACACAACACAACACTTAATGAACTGGACCCAAGAGGGGAGCTCTCCTTTCACGTTTGTGTTTGACCCGATCAACGTCACAGATGGTACTTTGCATCATGCCACGTATGTGCCTACAATCTCAGACACAATGCACGCGACGTGGGATCGTGCGCCGGGACCCGACATGTGAACGTCAACACACACTAAACTGATTGAAGAAACTTCCCAAATTGAGCTCTGTGGGCTGACATCTTCGACAATTGAAGAAACCATTACGCAATTTGTCTAAACTCAATTGATAACAAGAAATTCCATATATTATACTAATACTGTAAACGGATTAATTATTCACTGGGTTTTAATTTTGCTTATTTCGTTGACTGAAAAAAGCGCTAAACTAAAACCTAGTGAATATGTAAAATAGAGCATAGAACACATTATCTAAATGATAAAACCGTGAATTTAAAACCCACTGAATATGCCTAAAATGGTAAATTAGGTAAATTTAAACCCAGTGAAAACTAGTCATTTTACAGTATTCAGTTAATTTGTTGATTCCGAAGTGCCGTTACAATAAGTTAAACGGTACTGTGATGAATGGGTTAGTATAAGACAGTTACATGCAAAGATGCATTTTTTAAAGGAAGAATCGCCATGTTTCCTCAGTCATCGAAGTTGTCTGTATCCCTACAATAACTAGTAAAAGCATTACAATTGATTGCATTACAATAGGTAAAGTACATGTAATCACTACAGTATAAGTGAAGCAAATGCCATGAGCTTTTTCACATTCCCCTCTTTACCATGTACGGGTTCATCGAGTCTACCTTTATAATGAACAACTGGTAAGATTTCACCGGTAAGCGCTCAATCCTTGTGCCGGGTAATAACGCGAGATTGGGTGACACATCCAACACGACTCGTCTCGGTTGACCACTCTGCTCCTAAACGTGATATCATCTTACAGACTAAAAATAACCGACATTCAGGTGAAAGTTACAACATAAAAGGCCCGATACATTGAATATAAATTGGTGTCAGCGCATTTCGTGACAGGCACGGGACACTTGAGCCCGGTGACTTACACGGTATGCACCAATGTCTCTTGTGCCGACCAATTCATGACGCACATACTACGATAGATTGCATCACAGCAGATAATATATACTATTGGCTAACTGTTATTACATATGTAAATTTATATATATATATATATAAATCCATAATTGAAAAGACGTTTGTATTGACAAGTCTAAGCAGAATACAGCTGTACTTTGAAATATTTGCTTTTACTGTTATGTATTGCGTTTGTCTTTGAACTGATCAAAAAAATCAAAAGTAGACGTACCTGGTTAGAGTCGTCTGGTCCAAGTCTTCATCCATCCACCAGAAATTGTTAGTCACCAGAAATAACTTAATAATAATAACAGATGAGCAGGAGGCGGAATTTAAAATATGTCGTTTAAACATGCACCTCACACATAAAAGCGAACAGTCACTGCGACTACAGGGGTATAATACCGCGACCCAGCACCTTACCTGGTCCAATTCGAAGGTGACGCCAATTCAGTGATGAAATAACCGACGTCTCAATTAAGAATTACCGGTACACCTCTGTACGACTGGGCGTTGGCGGCGACTCTCTTCGCGTGAAGTGTGCGGCACTTTCGACGGTTCCATGTGTACTTTGTCTTCCTACCTCGTGGACACTGAGGTCGATGGTAAAACGTCAAGATATGTACACTTGCATAGCAAATGAGCCCCGATTCTAATCCTCCTTTCAACGCGATGTCAGAGTGTAAAGAGACTCTTGTGTTGCCATGACTACAACAACAAGACACCCGAAACGCGGACCGACCTGTATGTGCACGGCAAACAGGTATCGGCCCAGAGAGGACAAAGGCCAGACAAAAGAACCATTCAATGTGTCTAACATTACCTGCACGGCCGATCAATTAATCAGTTTACTTTTCAAATGCCGCGTCACAAAGGATTTAATTGATGAGTTTTGTGCGCCGTCTTGTAGAAGAGAAGCCAACTCGGACCGCCTGACCCCGTCAAACAATTTACTACCGTAATACTCCTCTATGGTGTTAATTATATAGATAGGGTTTCTGCACAGAGGCCGTTCGGGAGTTGGATGAGACTCTTACCATATTGTACTGCTATAGTATGTTCCCCTATGTCAGGCAATAAATGAACACATAATATACGTACACATGTAAATACCGTTGTACCAATTCCCTTGCAGACATGAATCAACTCAGGAGGTGTGAATTGGAGGAAAGAAGTAACTAGCAAACTACTAGTACTTAACCAAATGTACACCACTCTCCATACACAGGGTCCCATACACAGGGTCACATACACACAAGTATAAACAAATGTGAAT